AAATATAAAATTTAAAATAATCTTTGCTATACAATTAATGTTCATTATATTAAGATTTATTATATTAAAATTATACTACATATATTAGTTTTTAAAATCTAAAAAACTTACAAATTAAAAAATAAATAAAAAATCAAATTTAAAAAAAATTTTAAAAAATTAAAATTTATCTCAGAGCAATACCTGGGTTTACAACTAGTTTTATATATAAAATAATTATCTGAACCCTTTGCCTATAATAAAAGATAAGTTTTATGCTATATGAAAAATAATCCTAATAGTATTATATGTCACACTATACAAAGTTTTACTAAACTACATAATAACATTAAAGTCAATTAAAAGTTTATATTTTCTGGCCCGTTATTATCCAAGTGATGGTAGATTTTTGTTTATTCGTCTTGTACATGACTTAGATATTTGGTATTCTGGTTTATATCCAACATGTTGTAAAGGTCCTTCTGACACATATTCTAAAACTACAATAGAAATTGTATTCCTTGATATTCCGTAGCATTTTAAAAATAATAGATTTTCATATCCAATATCACAAAATTGTAATAAAGCCATAGTTATAGAACTAAGCAGTAGATTATCTCACCCATAATTTCTAGCCATTCAACATACCGAAATAATCATATTTTCAAAAGAAAATAAAGAATTGGTTAGTAGCAATAATAGTTTATTTAAAAACAAAACCAATTCGAAAGACATTTACCTAAAAACCAATACAAATTGTAAAATTTAAAGCACTTTTCGATTAAGCCTAATAGTGGTTTCATAAACATAATGACCAAGAAGTGACTGTTCATATTGTTTTAGCCCTTTGTCACTACTAAACACTAAATAAATATAATGATTGAAACTACTAACCCTAACTCTCTATACTAGCAACTAGTAAACTCTAAACTATATATACTTAACATTCTAAGTCTAAACTACTTGACAATTACCGAACTAACTACCAAAACAACACAAGCACAATATCTCCAAAAAAATATACTGAGAATACCACACAATCATATCAGTAATTCTTGAATGTGTGCCAGGTTTGTGGCACAGACTTCCTAAACTATGAAATATAACATGATCAAAAAAATTCAAAACAAACGCATGTTTTGTCAAAATCGTATACTTTTCAAAAATCAGTATAA